GGTTGAGTTAAGTGGAACCAAAATAGCCATTGAGTGAGAGGGAAGGGACTCAAATGAGAGAGGAGGGCAGGGCAGCAGCATCAATTCTTACCTATGTCCCAGCTTTGCCTGGAATTAGCTAAAAGAGGAACTCCTGGCAGAGTAATTTTTGTGACAAACATACAGGACTTGAACCTTGGCTCTGTCACTTAATAATATGTGACTTCAGGAAAGTTACTAAATTTCTCAGTCTTTGTGTTCTTCTTTGTATAAAGATTATACAAATAACATATGTAGCACCCATAATGTACTAGTGCCCAGCAAATAGGACCCTCTCCTTCACCAAGCCAAGCTCTTTCCCCTTTGTGCTACGGTTGGCAGACTGCAAATGAGAAATCCACCTGGATATGTGAGAAACATGAGGATTAGCACTGTGGGCTCTTTGTTAGGAGAAGCAAGATGTCACCAGATTCCTTATACTCTCCTTGCACTGGGGGAGCTGGTGGGCTACTAAATGTTAGGACTTGTACCCATATTTAGCTACAGCCTGTAGTGAAATATTCTGAATTTCCTGTAATGTGCCACAGCAAAATGGAAACTATCCAGTACGAAGGAGCACAAAAATAGGTTTTCATGGAAATTTAACTCTGAACATTCTGGCTTTACATCTTAACATAAATGAAATCTAAGCACATTTTTTCCTGCCAAAAAGTGAAGATAATTTTTTAAAAGCTATGAATCTAATGACTACAAATATCTTTCCATAATCACTCCAAGATATTTATCATGTCATTTGGGTTATATGAAAGGTATGTCATTTGTGATAGTCAAATTTAGAAACTCTTCTACATTTTAAATGTAATTTTTCTTTTGTTTGTTTGTTTGCTGTAGGGCATATGCATTTGCTAGGGAGAGAGATAGAGAGAGAAAGAGAGAGAGAAATCATTCTTGCCCCCCCCAGGGGTGGGGGTTGGCCATGCTGCAGTCCATTCTCCGTTTGGTATTTTGGGCACACTAGCACACATGCTGGCATGATTTTCAAGGTGCTGAGCTCAGGACTTGAACTGTGAAGTTTGCCATGTGGGATCCAACCACCTTAACCTCCATGCCACCTACTGGCCCTAATTTTTTTTTTTTAATGAAGATTGGATTACACACTGAAAAAGAATCTTCAAAATGACTTATTTTCTATTCTCAACATATTGTTTTAATGTTTTCATTTTTTTCTTCTTTTCCTAGATTCATAAAATATACTTCCTCTCATGCATTACCATTTCAGTTCCAAGACTTTGTTCTCTTTAGGTGTTCTGAAGTAAAACTAATAAGGATTTTGAAACTATGAGTACACTTTCAGAAAGCTTTCCTGTTGACTTATATGACTGCTCCTGACACTGATATACATGTATATGTCATTAGTTACTTAAATGTTTTCTGTCATTATGTAAATGATGCTGACACTTTGGGGTAGTATGCTTATATTTTACTTTTTGTCATCTGCAAGTTCTAAAATATATCAGAAAATCGTTTTCAAATTAAGAAGCTGTTAAAAGGTTCTTGCTGTCTTTGTCTATAATGTTGAGTCTAAAGGATCAGTGCGAGAGGCTATTAAGTAACTCTAACCTTTCTTCCTCTCTCCCCAAGACTTCTGTTTTTTTTGTTTTAATGATGACCAAGATATGGTCACGACTTCTTGGAGCTCATGGTCAGATAGAGGGAGATACCATCAGGTACAGGTGTACAGATTATTACAATAGAAGGTGGAAGACATGTCATATTAAATGTATGACTAATTGTCATGACAGTGGAGAAAATGACTACCCAGATGAGCCAACAAAATCTCAGTTCCAAGACTTTGTTCTTTTTAGGTGTTCTGAAGTAAAACTAATAACACTTTTGCCACTATAAGTGCACTTTCAGAAAGCTCTCCTTCTGACTTGGGATGATCTCTAATCCGGGTCTTGAAGTCTCAGTAGGAATTTGGTTAGTGAAGAGGAGGAAAGATGTATGGATAGAGGCATGGTGGGAGAAATGAGGAGCCGAGGATGCCTAGGATATAGGATGCAGGAACCCAGGCACTGACCAACCAGACTGGAAGGCTGAAGCATACTGGGAACCAATTATAAAGCCTTTAAAGCCACAGCAAAAAAAATTACAAAGCCTTGAAAACCACACCAGAAAAAAAGAGTTGACAGGCTCCAACTTCTCAGAACACACACAACATGGTGTGGAGCATAGACAGGTGGCATCCTTTCTGCCCTAAGCAGCCCAGGATTACAGGTTCTTTCTTTCCATTTCATTATGATTTCTAATTTATGTGTAATGGTTTTACATCTTTGTAAGGTATAGTATGATTTTTAAAAGCATGAATATAGTGTACAATAGTCAAATCAAATATATAAGCATATGAATCATCTTCACCATCTACCATTACATTCTGTTGTAGACATTCAAGAATTACTCTGTTTTTGTTCATTTATTTTTAAGTATAAATAACTTTGTCTCCAATGTTCACTACTCCACAGTGGAACACGATTCCAAAGTCTTTTCTAATTGTTTACACGCACTCTTGTGTGTTTTCAAAAATCTCATTCAGTTCTCTCTAAACCCTGCTCCTTCTGGCATCTAGTATCTAACATTACTCTATTTCCAAGCTACCAAGTCAGCTAATGAGTGAGGTCACTAGGTATTTACTAAATGGGGACATACAGTATTTGTCTTTCATAGCCTGAATTATTTCACCTAGCGTTATATCTTCCAGGATCATCCCTTGTGTCTCAAATGCCAAAAATTCACTGGTCTTTATGTCTGAGTAGAGTTTTTCTCAAACCACAGATGAAAAATCTCTCTCTATCCTAACTACGTTTAGTTTAAATAGAAAAGCATTCAGTTGTTTCTGGGTGGCTCGTGAGGGTATCAAAAAGATAAATATAGTATCCCAAGCAATCTTCAGAAGCATTTGAAGGAAGCATTATAGTAAATATGATGGATCTTCCACTTAACAGTCCAGAGCCCCAATAAGGGCCGTAGACCACCACACCTCCACCATATTGGTGTATAGCAATATGGTCCTATTATACTCTGCTACATCCATGTATCAATGTGATCCTCCACACTTCTGCCATATTTTGATGTGAGGACATAGTCTGCCATACTTCTGACAAGTCTAAGCATGGGATGTGGCCTTCAAGCTTCTGCCATGTCCATCTCCTACACCATGTCAAGTATCCAATCATTTCCATGAGGAAGAAGTTGTTCACAGCCCCGCTACTACCTAGGTTACAAACACTGTCAAAAATGGTGGTAGCACTTATAACAAATGAAGATGTGAATGCAGATGTCCAACTCTAATTTTAGTTAGGGTCCTATTGATAAATGGTGTTAATGAAGGAACAAAGAGAAAAAGGTTTAAAAGTGAATGAAGTAGTAAATGGATAAGTATATAAATGTACAAGGATCTATAAATTAAATGAGAAGTAAATAAAAGCTTAAAAATAAGAAAGAAGGGAATATAGGAGAGAGTATTTTTAAATGAGAAAGAAAATAAAGCAAAAAGGAAGACAAATCAGAGAAAGAAATAATAGAAAGAGGTAAACATAGCAAATATTCCTTATATATTATTTTTTTTATTCCCCCATGAAGCCGTTTGTCTTCCCCACATATTTTTCAGTGTTCCTGATGGGTAGAGATGCATAGATGGAGAAACCAGTATCTGGGTTCCCAAACAGCATACCTCCTCCTTTCTACTTTTCAAACCATCTGCTGAAGGGTTCAAGGTTTTATCTTGGGGAAATCCAAACCATGAGATACAATATAAACTATTTGGTCTGCGGCCCCATCTATCCATATCTCATGACTTCATCGTGGGGATAAGCAGTGGGCTGGGAAGTTACACTGTATGAATCTTAAGGAAGTACAGAGTAAGAAATTTGTTGTAAGTGGAAACCTTCAGAATGATTTTGGGCATGAGCTTTAGTCAATACTCTATGAAGGCAGCTCCTAGCACTGGTTGTAAACCATCCAGGTTACTATGGACAGATAGCCCATGCAAATAGTGATGCTTCAGGCAGACCTAGTGAATCAGACACATTTAAAACAAGTGTTGTGGGGCCAGCAGGTGGCATAGTGTTTAAGGTGCTGGACTCTCACATGGCTGACCGCAGTTTGACTCCCAAACCTGGGACATGAAAATCACACCAGGTGTGTATGTATATGCCCCAAATCCCTAGACAAGAATGGAGGAAAAGGTACTGCAGCATGGCAATCACCTCCTGGGGCGTGATTTTCTCTCTCTCTCTCCCTGGTTAGTGCATACACCCTAAGGCAAAAACAAACAACAAAAAAAACACCCACCAAAACAAAAACAAGAAACAAGTTTTGTACATCCTTATCCAGAAAAGATAGAGATCAGCAGACACTTTCCTTCCTCTCTCAACTAACTGCACATGCCAGCAGGGAGGCCTGCAATTGGTATGGGGGCAACCCATTCATCAACCCATTGCCACCCAGGGGCAATCAACCATGTTAACCGGCAGTTACTTCTCTTCAAGACACAATGAGAACAACCCTCCTGCTCAGACCTAGGAACACACAAGTGTGCAGAGGAACAAAGGGAGAGCCCACAGCCAAACACCACTGGGAAGAAAATGAAGGCCACAATGCACCAGTCCCCTCCGTGTGGGTACACAGGGGCAGCCCTCTAATAATACACCAAACTGGCAGCCCTGTGTTGATAGGCCACCCAACTGTAACCAACAAGAGGTGCCACGTTCTCAGAAAGCTGATCACACACCAAGGCCCTTAATTGCTGCCCAGGGCATACGTGTGACAACCTTTCACAAATCGAGAGAAGTAATATTATTTCAGTAGGGAAACTGACTTCTGTTCCCATCTCCCAATTTAAGGAAGCATAAAAAAGAACTGTTGAGTCTATAAATTTGCAAACTAACCAGTACACAAAAACTTTCGAGTCTGGCTCAGAACAGAATCAAGAGGAAGATGGACGTTTCAAATGAATTTCTTACCTTTTTGTCACTCAGGCCAGAAACCTGGTCCACGTATTCCTCTTGGATCATGAAGGCAGCTAAGTTGGCAGTGTAGCTGGCCAGGAAGATGACAGCAAAGAAGGCCCACACCGACACCATGATCTTGGATGTGGTCCCCTTTGGGTTCTGCACAGGTACGGAGTTGTTAAACACCAGACCCCAGAGTAACCAAATAGCTTTGCCGATGGTGAAAGATGGGCCACCTGGCTCTGTCATGACAAAAAGACAGGACAGAATTGAAGCCAGAATTACTTGTTCCATTTAAACTTACAATCACACAGAGCTAGTGAATTCCTGCCCAGACCAAGAAACTCTTCAGTTTAAACCAAGACCTTTTGCAGACAGCATTTTATTTGAGAGTTTATATCTCTCTTATCCTAGGACCCTCAGGAAGGTAGTAGAGGGATCCCTAGAAGAAAAACCAGAGGTCTGAGGTGTGTGGGGGATTTCCTCCAACTAATCGTGACAATTCAGTCACAGTCCTGGAGGAGTCATCTTCTGGCTCACATATAGAAGACCCTTAGTATCACACCAAAACTGATTAACACGAGCTGGCCCTATAGTCTAGTGGTTAAGGGAACTAAATCCCACATGGCTAACTGTAGCTAGGTTTGTGTGCATGTGTGCCCAAAATCCTGACAAGAGGGAGAAACGCAGGAGAAGGAATGACCACTGCATGAACATGCCTTACTGTGTGTGGGGGGTGTCTCTGTCTCCTTCTATGTGTCTTTCCATCTCTAGTGAGTGCATGTCCCCTCTGGCAATTAAAAACAGAAAACTGAACAAGTAATGAAGGCCAGCTATCCCACTGTGAATGATTACACTTGGGTTATTACCATTGTTTTCCCTGCATTTTATATGTACATATACTAAAAGTGCATGTCGACTTCCAAACATGGAAGCAAGAACTGTGTCAGGTCTTCCGCTGTTATCACAAACCTCCTCCAAGTCAATCCACACTGATACTGGATGGCTTTGGATGTACTTTTCCCTGATTTGTCTAGCAGTTAACACCAGATGTTTCAAAGACACCCCTGATCCTATTCCAATGTTAACACTTCCCGACTGGTTTCCTAGAGGAGTCATTTCTGTGTAAAAGCGCATCAGGAAGTCCAGAGAAGTCCAGACTCCTGCCTGTCTGGGAGTGTCTGAGGGCAGACAAGTAGCTGATTTGATTTTTACTTCCTTCCATCCAACCTTTACACAGATAGCACCGGGGCTTCTGCCGTCAATGCATTGTGACCTCACTCCCGTCTCTGCTGGGTGATGATGAGATCTTGCCTGTCGTCTGGGTCTCCGTGTAGCTCACCCTCTGCTGAAGTGAACATCTGCCTACACAGTTTTACAACGTATTAGCACAGGTCTTAGGATGTTATCTGTGATCCTGGCAGCATCTGCTCAGCCAGAGAAAGCACCAGGGACTACGCGTGTCGAACCTGATCTCTGACTGTGCATGCACATCTGTGCGTGGGACCTGATGTCATGCAACAGATGTGTAACTAAAATGTTGTTTATAAATCAAAGTTTTGTAAATTATAACATGCTCTAAGGAGACTCGATATTCAATGGGGCCCCATGTTGAATGCCTTTGTGGTGACAAAGGAATTTTTCCTTTGGGAGAATGAGCGATACCTTACTCTGGGTTTTGTGAATCTGGAATTTCGCTTCCTGGGTTTTTTCCCCAGGGTGAAGGAAGGGCAGCACACACTCAATTTCATTTCTGACTTTCTTAACCTATCTATGTTCTCAGGTGATTCCCCCAGGCCAGGACACAGGCCAGGCCATGGCTTCTGGGGGACCCTTTAGCACAGTCAGAAAGCCCCTAACTCTAACATACTGTCGAGACATCAGAATTCTACCCCAGAATACACAAACCAAATAAAAAGCCAAGTCTATACTTGCAAATACATCAGCGAAGTAGTGGCACACAGCTGGGCCTGAATTCGCCAGAAGTACAAAGGGCACTGCCTGGCATCTCACCCCGGAGTCTTATTAGATCCATATGAAGTGTGTGTAGGGGGGTGCTGCCAATAAGGAACAAGGTAGAAAACCACCATTTTGCAACATATAGGGGGCCAAGCCTCATCCTAGACTTAGTGAATTAGAAAATGAGGCCCAAGCACCTTCGTCCTTTAAGTGCTCCATAGACGATTCTCATGCAAAGCCAGGGTTAAGAATCTTTCCTCCTGGAGATATAATTCTAGGAGAGCTCACATTCTGGAAGACAGAAGACTCAAAAAAAATTGGAAATTTTTTATATTTTATATTATTTATTTATTGTAGTAATTCGCCAGAGGGCATGTGCACTCGCCAGAGAGAGAGCAGAAAAGTGAGAAAGCACCCTCCGTGGGGGGATGGTCACACCACAGTCTCTTCTTCTCCATCTTTCCTTCCTTTTGTGATTTTTGGCATGCATGCACACATGCACATTGTGTTTGTCAGGCATCAGGTCTGGGACTTAAACTGCATTGTCAGTCATATAGGAGGTAGTCATCTGAACCACCATGCCACCAACAGTCCCGAAATTAGGCTATTTCTTAATCCTGTGGTTCAGCTTGTCTGGAAGGGGCTGTTTATAAGGATTTCATGGTCCTTTTCAGAAATCTAGTGAACTTTAAAAAAGTTTTATCAATGTCTCAAACACTTGGAATACCCTCAGCTCTCTGAGCCTACCTATCCAGACAACTGGACCACCTGCAAAGTAGCTATGGGTGAGGTCTGCTTTCCCCTGTCAAATTGATTGCAAACAACCAACTCCTGTGCTTCTTGGCAAGGCATTTGAGCCGGGCATATGCTCTGGAGATCTTGTTCCTCAGTTGTGATCCTTTGGCTATGGGGAATCTGCCAGCCACAACCACCTGCACATACCCAGGGGCACCCTATTTTCCTAATTCTTAATATGTGTGTACCGTCTTCCTTGTTAGTCACATCTGTTCCAACAGACTGCCCACAACCTAAGGGTATCAAAAGAGTTCCTATGACATGTTTATGCCACTCACCTACTACCAGTCTTCCTTCTCATTTACTTCAGGATGGAACTGGGCTTGGGGTGACACGTGCACCCGTGAAAGGACATATGGATTCAGACGCACATCTTTTCTTTTTTTTTTTTTTTTTTTTGAGAGGTTTTCACTATAGGGCGCGTGCGCTCGCCATACAGACAGAGAGAGACAGAGAGGCAGAAAGCGAGAAATCACCCCCCAGGGGGGATGGCCACGCCCCAATCCTTTCTCCTCCATTCTCCTCTCGGGATCTTGGGCACGCACGCACACGCACCCGGCTTGAGTTTTAAGCTACCGGGTCCGGGACACAAACTGCGGTTGACTACGTGGGAGTCCAGCGACATAGCCATTACGCTAACTGCTGGTCCCTCAAACGCACATCTTAATAAGGCTCTTTCTAAGGAGTCACCAAGCTGAGAGCCTAGAAAGCTGAGGGTCCTTTTCAGAGATGGATAAGTTAGGGAGGATGCGGGTAACAAATGAGGGGGACCAAGCTTAGGAATTAAGGTCTAGGAAAGATGCAGAGCTTCTGCTGTTCCAGCTGGCCTTACCTCTGCCATCAGCGAGGCACCTGTTATAACCCACAGGGCTGAAGTACTCAAAGACAAAGACAGCCACGGCTGAGACGATGAGCAGCATTACAAACATCATGACCCATACGTCAGCACTAAATGGCTCTGTGGAAGGAGAAAAACAGCACTCAGTGTTGAAACAGAGGAGGCACAGATTCTAAGTAATCCATGCTTGCATTTTTCATGTCCACATGGATTTATGGGGGCCAAAGGGTGAACACTACAAATGTGTTGCATGCCTTCAATGACCCGGGGGCGCTGACATAGCGGTAGGTAGGGGCCTGTGCCTGAACAATCCCATTCCCCTGATGGGCATGTATGTCAAGGTTTTCCCTTTTTTCCCCTTTCTAATATGTGAGGACAGCTCATGCTGTGAACTTCCCGAGATTCCAGAGAGAGTTTCTGCCACGTTTGGACCAATGTCTGGGTTTTTCAGTAAATGGTACACGTTGGAAGAGCACTAATTATGGAGCAGGTGAACCATGTAGGACTGACTTAGCTTATTTCACAGCCACATGGCCATCCCACAGAATGGAGACTTGGAAAAGCTGTCCCTAATGCTTCTGAGCCTGACTGTCAAGTTCATTCTCTACAGACTTTGTTACTATTTCAGAGCTGAACTGATTCAGTGATATTTACATTTGATGAATAATCAGTCCTTTGGTTCCTTTGAATCACTTCTCTCAACTTCCCAGCCTAGGTTTACATCTTCAACCCACTTTGATGTCACACATTTTATTACATATCAGTAGATGAGATTATAAGTCATTTTTAAAAATCCATCCACTGAATATAAGTAACTACAGCAGTGAGAATTCAACAGGTGACAAGGGCACCAGGTATAATTTGTAAAACAACTATTGGGTTGTTAGAAAATTCAAGATGCATTTTTCCATAGAAAAATACATCATGACTTTTCCTACAACCTAATCCAATATATCCCCTTGTATCGGGTGATAGGGGTGATGGGACAAGATTAGACAAGATAGGGAGAATGTTTTACACCTGCCAGCTTTAATATCATTAATCATTTCACTGAATCCTTTCCAGTTGAGCTAAATCTCTCTAGCTTAGAGGTGTCCGGCAATGGAACACTATATTCCAGAAACCATCTCTTTGAAGGCCTGTAAGAAGGGACAATTACTATTCTGTTCCATCATATAATCGTCCCTCAATTGTGTCTCAAAATAGTCTGGCCTTTATAGCTGTCACATCACATTGTAAACTCAAAACTAAATGAATTAACATGCTCTTTTCTTCATCTTCCAAATCATCAATGGAAATGAAGTTGAAAAGGGGGGAAAATTGGCTGAAAATCAGAAAATGTATTTTTTTACTCTGAAAACTACTTTACTATTGAATTCCCAGAGGAATTATAAAGGCCTGGTCACTTTATCGGTTTAAAAAGGACTTTAATAAAACCCCAGAGCTTAACACAGACACTGTGAAATGTAAAACCTTTCAATGACAGTTGGAGATGTAAGGATAAGAGATACAACACAGTTTCTATAGGGCGGTGTGGAAAAAAACCTCCCCTATTCTTGACTCAATTGATCACAATCCCAATTTCACTTTCATCTAAGATTTCGGTATAAATGAGTAAGAGAATCACCTCTTTGATCTCCCCTCTCCCCCCATTAAGGACAGGACAACTTTCTATACTCCAAATACAACAAATATCTGTATTGGTATTTATAATTTAGAAAGTACTTTCACCACATATTACATGCAATTGTGTTTTTGTTTTTTAGTTTATTTTAATTTTTATGTATATATTTTTATTATTCATAAATTAAATCACTATACATCATTTAGATTGTGAAGAGACTTTACCCAGCATGATAGACACCTCAGTCCAGCCCAGTTGAGACCACCATATACATCCTCGTCAACAGAAAACCTTATCTGTGTCCCACAAGTGTCTTACCTCTCCATTGCCACCCCCCAATTCTTCCCCTCTCACACTCTCTTTACACTTTGTCTCTAGTGTCCATTACAATTTTTAATTCTTTTATGTCCTCCAGTCTTTCAGTCTCTACCGTAGAGTGCAGACAGTCGGTATATGTTAAGTGGAGACATGCAATGTCTCTCTTTCACGCAATCGTTTTAATGGCCCTTTCGTTATGGGATTGTTATCACTATTTTACAAGCGAATAAACTAAGGCTGAGAAGTCAATGTCCTTTTCAGGTCTCTAAGCAGAAAGTGGCAGGGCAGTTATGAGCTGAAGTCCTCTGAGACAAAAGTATCTGTGCTTTCCCCTGCCGTATGTGGCATCGTTTCTGCCACCACACCCAAATACAGGCTCTGAAGGCTACAACAGCTGGGCTTTAATCCTGAACATCAGCTACTAGCTGAGACATTGCTGGAAAATGACTTAACCTGAATAAGGTTCAGTTATTATACCCTGTACAGTGGGTATAATACCAGTATCACTGAGTTATTATAGCCAAAAGATGTGTAGTGAAGCCTGGTACACCACATAGTAGGTGCTCAATAAATGCTAGCTTCTCTTGTCACTATAACTAACCTTCAAACACACACCAACACACCCTGCCTGGCACTGCCATGTCATTCGAGCACTAAACCAATATATACTAGCTCCTCCAGTTCAGAAGTTCAGGTTGTGTTGTATTGATAGGGTTGGCCCTCAAATGTAGTTTTATCTATATCTCTTAATGTTCTGATTATCCCTGTAAAGGAAATCAACAGCAGCCATGAGGATTAATGCATACAGTGTGCACTGTCTAATAACATTTCACATGAAATTGGCAGGGCTAGAATTTGCTTCACTCTGAGTAAGAAGATTAGCTAAGAAAGGAGTAATTTATAGAAAAATTTTCTGGAACCTATAACTCCACTTTGTAGTGGATTAATTGAATTAATTCCCTATGGATAGAGCTTAAATAAATGTTAGTCACTGTCTACTCTAATATTCTCCTTTAAAAAATGTTCATGTCCCTTAGGCAGTTAGTGACTTGTCCACGGGCTTACAGCTTGTATATGACCAAACCAGACTTCCTGTCTCCTAGGCCCATGTTCTGCTTTCAAGGTGACACTTACTTTTCATCCCCTGCAAAAAATATGGGGTATGAGCTCACAGAAGACTTCATCTAATTGAAATCTTGGCCTCAAGTCACCTGATCTTATATCACATCTGAGTTGTTTTGTTTTGTTTTGTTTTGTTTTTAAAGAGAGATTTTTGCTATAGGGTGCATACACTTACTGGAGAGACAGAAAGTGAGAAATTGCCCCTTGGGGGATGGCCATGCCCCAGTCACTTCTCCTCCATTCTTCTCTCAGGATTTTGGGCAGGGGCACCCAGCATGAGTTTTAACCCCCGGGTCTGGGACCCTAACTGTGGTCAACTACATAGGAGTCCAGCAACTTAACCATTATGCCATCTGCTGGTCCCCACATCTGAGTTTTTTGATATTTAAATGATGCTGGAGGATGGGGAGCAGAGGATGGCATGGAAAGGAGGGACAGTGTTTGGGAGGGAGCATAAGATCAACTCTATCAGGCAAAGCCTCAAAAAATTCATGTGAACACAGAAAACCTGTTTCAGTAGAATTGAGCTCAATTTGGAGCCAGCAGATGGCATAGCGATTACATTGCTGGACTCCCACATGGTCGACTGTAGGTCAAGTCCTGGACCTGGTGGCTTGAAACTCATGCCAGGCATGTGTGCGTGTGTGCTCAAGATCCTAGGAGGAGAATGGAGGAAAATAGATTGCATCATGGCCATCCTCTGGGGGATGATTTCTCACTTTCCCTTTCCCTGTCTCTGTCTCTCTTCTGCAAGTACATGCACCCTAAGGCAAAAACCTCTACCAAAAAGAAAGAGAATTGAGCTCGATTCTTAAAGATAATTAACAATTAATAGGTATTTCCATGACATCTCAAATTAGAAACTATTACAGCAGGAAGTAGGCAACCTCAGAGATCAGCTACTTGAAATGCTGTTTTCAGCATATGAAGAAACTGAGTCCTAGCACGCAGTAAATTTGCTTAAGGTCAAATGGTAATGAAGTGGCAGGAGGGGGACTAATGTAGAGAAGCCTCTGATGGCAAGTTCAGCACTGTTTTCTTACAGGGCATCAGGCTTTCCTTATTTTCCTGACAGTTCTTCAGTTCTCATGTTTGAGAATAATCAATTTTGAAATCCCCAAAATGAAGTCCCCGGCTGAGTTAAGCTTCTATCTTAACTCAGAGCTTAACTCGGCCCGTCTCCTTGCTGAAGTAGCCTGACCATGTGCTCCTGTAGTTGTTTCCTGTCCCACCTCCCCGTCTTGCAGTCCGTGTCTTCCCGCTGCCATTCATTTACCTAAGAAGGCAGAAGGTGAGACAGTCCCATTGCTGCGTGACACCATGACACTGATGCCAGTCTCTATGAAGGGCACAGAGAAGTCGACTACTTCTGATCGTTCCTCATTGATGGTAAGGGATCCCACTGCCATGTAGGCCCTCTTCATGACCACCTGAAGAGAAAAGTGCAGTGCTCCAATTAGAACATTCCAGAAAGCAAGGGGCCACCCGGCAGGAAACAGAACCGAGCAGTGATTTTCTTTGCAAAGTGGGAAGAATACATTCTATTTACTATTTTATATTTTATCAAACTCATGAACTGAGCACTTGTTAATATTTAAGTGAAACAAAACAAATGAACAATGGAAATGGCCATGAATTCCTGACACTCACCTCTCCGATCATACCATTCCAGGTTCCATTGATTTTCTTCCCATGCTTGCCATTAGTAACCAGGTAAAGGTCATAGGTGAACTTCACAGATTTAGAGATTTTCTTAAGGATGTCGATACAGAACCCCTTGCAGCATTTTTTGATGTAACCTGGCTCCTCATCTGTTTTATTCCTAGCCAGTTAAAAATTTAAAAAAAGCAAAAATGAGACTTTATGTAAGAAACAAAATACTATCGTTTGTTATTAAAAGTCCATTTAAAAAAATATGCTACAGGATATGTGTGCTCAGTGAAGAGAGACAAAGAGCAATAGAGAGAGAGGTAAAAAGAGAAAGTACCCTTCCCCTGGGGGGTGGGGAGGGTGACCACACTGATATCCATTCTTCATTCTCCTCTCAAGAGTTTGGGCATGCACACACATGTGCCAAGCATGTTTGTCAAGCCACCGGGTCTGGGAATCGAACCACAAAGTCAACCATGTGGGATTTTAGCCACCTTAACCACTATACTACTGACTGGTCCAAAACTCCGATTTTTTAATACTAGGCCTAAGAAAGAAAATAAATTAGATCCCAGAAATGTGATAGTCTCATTATATCATCACATTGAATCGTGATTTTCTTCCACAATTTTTTATATTCCTTAGAAGCGTGATTCACATTAGGAAAAAGTGCATATCTTAATGGTTCAATGCAGTGAATATTCATACACTGAGCTCACCCTTTAACCAGCACTGAATCCTAATATAGAAAAGTTACTTGCAGCTCAGAGGCTTCCTATTCTCCCTTCCAGGCACATGCCACCCTCACCCAAGAGAACCATAATCCTGACTTCTAACAGCATAGGTTAGTTTTATCTATTTCCCCAAAATGGTTCTAAATCTCAGAATCTCAGGACATGCTGTACCAAGAAAATGTATGTCAATATCAACAAAGGAAACTTAGATCTTTGTAAATTTGAGTTCCTGGTCATGGAGGCCAGGTAAGACACAGTTCTGATGGAATCAGACATCAGACCACAGGTTGCCTGTGATTCATTAACTCAACAGTAGCTGCAGATCGGGTATGGAGCCCAGTTCTTCCCATGCCAACCAGATGCTAACAGCTGCATCAGGTCTGTCTCTCCCGTGCCACCCAGAGCCCCTGAGGAAGATGCCGTACTCAGAGACTATGCGTTTTTGGCAGGGGACTGTGTTCCTCATGCAGGTCCCACTCAGAGGGTCCACACTTTCCACAATGACAAAAGGTGCTTCCTCCAGGGTCACAATGCTCAGGTGGTCATCCTCTTGCTCTTCCGTCTCAGGACACATCCGGGGCCACACGTAGTATTTCATCTGCAGGGACTTGTCTTTCCACTTCCCCACCTGCACGAGGATGAACAGAAGATTCAGGAACCATCAGCCACAACATAAAAGCCTCTCCCAGTATCATTCGAATCGGCCCAGAAAGCTGTTGACACAGGCAAACAGATGCGGGTATTGTACAGAACAGAGAGAATTCTTGCTAATCCATATACTCCAAGTGAGACTACCGTAACGACATCTAAGAAAGGCAGCACATTCATTTTCTCATGCCCTCGCCAAACATCAAGTCAGGACCTACTATGTGCTGGACACCCCACTAAGCCCTGTGGCTCAAAGAAGCATCATTCTGCCCTTCATCACGCTCACACTGACAGAAGGAGTCAGGAATGTAAACAAATGTTTACAGTGAGCTGTGGTAAGTGTTAACACTGAAGCCTGTACCGAGTCCTGCGAGGATGCCAGAGTTTCCTGCGCTACGTGTCGCTGACAGTTTTTTTCTACTTAACAAGGAGCATGAAAGTGAGTGCAGCAAATAGCTTTGGAAAGGTCAACAGAATGACTGCAGCAAATGAGCCAGAAGGATGTGTTTTGGCTTGTAACAGAGGTCCAGCGGGGGCCGAATGGAGAGCTTGGGGATCTGAATTGGAATAAAATGGTTAAGTCAAGATCAAAGAAGACTGATGCAGCTTCTCTGGGGAAGGGAGTGTGGTGGGGCTGGTGACGAATGCCATGGGTGAAGGCAGATATGCACCTGCTGTACTGGGTAGAAGCTCTGAATCAGAAGGTCTCTCTGGGAGCTACTGCATGTGGCCACCCAGCCTCTGTGCCCAACACCAGGGAACACCATTCACACAGATGCTTACATGAAAGGCAGGCGCGTCCAAATCACACACACCATGACCCGGCTGCCAACCACTAAGAGAAATAGGCGGTTCCGTTATATCCTGGAAGAGCTGTTGGCGTGCTTTTATAATAGACTCTACATTACTTCACTGGTGGGTTCTTGTTCTTATTCTGCCATTGTGTTTAATGGAGAAAGAGGCAACGCTTCTTAATTTCCTATAGCTGAGCATTTTCCACTAGCACAAGAATTGTGGATTGCAGGTTCTTACATTTTCTCCACCTATGATTTCCTCCAGGCAGCAATGAAAATCAGTAGATCAGGTGAGGTACCAAGACCACACGGTTACTTAATTTGTTAAAATCAATAAGAAGCGCAACAGGTTGACAATAGCTCATACATTTTCAAGCAAATAGGTTTAACTTTCCATATACTACAAAGCCCAGATTTGCCCTTTCTTTGTTTCTACTTCTCTCTGCACATGGGTTTCCTAGGTGTAACTGCTTCCCCGACCCCCACCCCCCGGCATCCTGCCTCACGATGCTGATCACTTCCACGCCCCAATTAGGCCAGCACAACCACTGTCCTTGCTTCTTTGCACCATTGAGTATGGCCGTGGTTTGGTATCCTGGGCTATCTCATTTGGCACCAACCCTTCCTTGGCATTATCCCTAATGCTGATTGGTCTTCTTCCAAGCGTGTAAATGATATTATGCTTCTTTTTTCAAAATTAGTCACAGAACCAAAGATTCATAAACCTTTCTTTACATGTATACTATTCTCCCTACTCTTGATCCCAATTTTGGTTTAAGTCTTTTTTTCTTCCTGTTGCTAACACTAGTTATTTCTAAAGTGTCAATTTCCAAAAATGGCTTCCTAGTCATGTGGAGATACCTCTGCCAGTGTTGGGGGAAGGCAGGGCTTCAGGGACAAGATACTCAGTCCTGGGGACCTATGACATTGGGTCACCTTCATCACCAAGCAGCAATTTTTACCCTACTGGTCAACCCAACATATTTTCTGCATGTTCAATAATGTAAAAAAGATTGAAAAGCCCTAAAGTACCTACTCCTATCATCTTGCCTTTACAGACCCCCCCCCCAATTTTTTTAAACCCATATTTATTATTTTCTGTCTTCACTGCTGCTAGCAGATCATTCCAAGATTACTTCAGGAATTTCAAACCACTCCTAATATCCCGAGTCCACTGTGGACACTGATGCCAGTTGACTTTCACAAGACACACAGTCACGTAATCCCCATTTAAAATTTTCAGCAGCCTCTCACTACCCTCAGGACTGTGCTCAAACTTCTCATGGAGAGAGTCATGAGACTCTGACCTAGCAGATTATGATGTGTGTTGAGCCTCTCCAGCCTTGATACAGTTAATATTCACCTTTGGAACATGAGTCCTTTGTTCAACTCAGAAAAGAAAGTTGTCAGTATTGGAAACTAACACAGGTTAGCAGATTGCAACAAACTAACCACATTTTCTTTTTTTGATAAACTTACCATATCAATGGAACAAAAATGCATTTTGGCACAGTTTCTCATGACACTCTTGTGAGGAAGATAAAATACAATATGGATTATTACATACTTAGTTTAAAACTCATGCTCAAAAAGGAAAAAAAAAAAAAAGATTATTTAATGAATCAATGCCAAAGTGGATGCAGGTCTCTAGTGACATATCAGGGAACTCTGTTCTTAGAATTGGTTGTATGGTGTTCCAGAAAACAAGATAGATGTTATGCTCAAAAGCTGCAGACAACCAAAGCTAAACAGGATAGAAGAGATACTGCATTGCAGAATCGAGTTTGAAAGAGATATAAATTAATTGTAATGATGGACTGAACCAAATGGAATGAAATTTAACACTATTTATACTTAAAGTCTAACATTTAGAGTTTTTAAAAAGCAACTGCACAGTATTGAAAAGGAGATATTTTAATCAACAGCAGTCTATAAAAGCTATTGCAATAACGAATGATGTATTTATAGACTCACAGCGTCTAGTGCATGGGGTGAAGGGAGGGCAGGGAGGATCTCACTCTACTCTGTGTTCATCGTGCCACAGCTGGAAAAGGAGGTTCTGATCCTATAATTCTATAATCTACTGATTTGTATTAAATATACCATTCTCATTTCTCCAACAATAATTTGTTCATGCCGTTCCCCTCCAGGACACCCATTCCCAACTTCCTACCAAGCTAGCTGAATCATATCCTTGCTTCTTGGCAATTCAATTCAACCAGCAACTGCACACCAGTTCTGTACCAGACACTGGGCTACATGCTATCGATAACTATACAGGTGATATTTATTAAGAACTTAAAGAGGAAAGGCACTGAGCATACCTAGTAACTTCCTTAGTCATCTGTGATGTACAGACTATATTGGAGGTCTGATTTTACAGATGACTATGGGTGTCAGCATTCGAGCCACTACACTGCACTGCTCCTCTGACAGTGAGGAGTAAGACACAGTCCCAGTCCTCTAAGAGCCAACTGGAAGAGAGAGATACTGCCTATTGACAAGAGCATCGAGTTAGGCTTTGGTAATTACCCTGAAAAAAGGATATGAATAAAGTACTCTGGCATTCAGAAGAGAAGTGATTATTTCTGAAAAGGTCAGGGAAGAGTCTCACAGAGACCCTTATCTTTGATATGAGCCTTGAAATGCAACTGGGGGCTCACTGGGTGAAGAACTCTATTTGCCAAAACAACAGCAAGAGCAGGGACCTGACTTAGAGGTAGCTGCTCGATGGAAAGACCTTGTGTGTAGAGTTCTTCACAGCATAAAGGCATGATGTGTGTGGGAAAAAAAAAAAAAAAAAAAAAAAAAACTCTAGCTACATAATCTCTGTAACTCTTGAGAACCAACTGTACTACTCTCACCTCTCCTCAACTCTTTGTTCCATGGCGACCAGTTAGTAGACTGAAACTGGCAGGGGCACCATGAAATTGGCAAACCGTATGTCAGGGTTTCCTCTATCCATCTTTGCTCTCAGTTTTAAAGATTTATAAGCTTACCACTGCCCAGAATAACCAAGCTTTTCATTATTTCATGCTGTTTACTGCATGATTTTTTTCTTTGTGGAGATTTTTTTTTTTCTATAGGGCACATGTGCTCACTGGAGAGACAGAGAAAGACAAAGAGACAGAAAGCAAGAAATCACACACACACACACACCCGCCCCGGGGCAATGGCTATGTTTCACTTCCCTTCTCTAGCCTTCTCTTGGGATTTTGAGCACGCATGCACACGGGCCCAGCATGAGTTTTAAGCCACCAGGTCCAGGACTTGAACTGCAGCCGACTACATGGGAGTCCAGTGACGTTACTGCTATGCCATCCACTAGTCCCAACTACATTATTTTTTAAAGTTTGTCTTCTAAACTAAACTCTAAATGTTTCTAAGCACTTAGGAGACCGTGGACAAATTTCTACAACTGGGAGTCTCAGTTTCCACATCCACAACAATAGATGGGCTGATTTCTAAGATGCTGTCCATACAGTTCCATGACCCCATGGTCCCTTCAGGACAGGACCTCTCCCCTATGCGTCCTACGGACTAGAGTCCAGTGACAAGGGATGTTTTTGGTTATTTACTGAAGAGATGACAGTATGAGTATGTGGTTTGTTTATACCGAAGATTCGCTTGTCTTCAAGTCATGATTGCTTTTTCACGTCTCTTCAAGGGTAACTGCAATAAGAAGGAAAATTAACAAGTTTCTTGAGGACTGAAAGGATATATTTTTGGGGAAAAAGATCTAGTAGTATATACATATCAGACTCAACATGACAATAAATAGGGCTCATACTAAAGGACATGCTTCATTAGCTCCATTTTTTTTATGAAGTAAAGCAGGTTAGAAATGAGTAAACATCTAAAAATTAAATAAAAAGGAAATATTTGTGTGGAAGAACAAGGTATGAATCGAGCAATTCTTTTAAGAGAAAGTATTGTAAAGATATTGTAAATGGAAAAATATGAAAGAGCAAAGAATAGTAAATAGAGCAAGAATTCTGAGACACTGAGAGGAAATGCTTTGACTGCTTGTGTAGGATGTCTGAAATGGAGATAGAACCCTGGAAGTGCAAAAAGTAGGAAATGAAGTTTACACAAGATAATTCAGAGAAAATCCAGCAAGAAAAACTGAAAAAAGGATTTATAGTCACGATTAAAATATGCTCAGAAAAAAAAAATCCTTAAGAAA